AAATGAGGATGGGAAAGCCAAGGATACTCAATCAGAATGGCCAAAAAAAAAAAAAAAGAAGCCACGATTATAATAATAATTTAAGGATCCTATGGGACACTATTAAATGTAAAAACATCTGTGTCATAGGGGTACCAAAAAACAAAAAGAAACAAGACGTTGAAGAGATATTTGAAGAAATAATGATGGAAAACTTCCCTAACCTTGTGAAGGAAATAGACATAAAACCTCAAGAAGCTCAGAGTGACCCCCAAACCAGGAACCCAAAGAGGCTCCACACCAAGACACATCGTAATTAAAATGCCAAAAGTTAAATACAAAGAGAGAATCTTAAAAGCAGCAAGAGAAAAGCAGTTATCTACAAGGAAGTGCCCAAAAGACTGGCCGCTGATTTCTCAAAAGAAACTATGCAGGACAGAAGGGCTTGGCACAAACATTCAACATGATGAAAACCTAGGATCTACAACCAAGAATACTTTACCCAGCAAAGCTATCATTTAGAGTTGAAGGACAGATAAAGAGCTTCCCAGACAAAAATAAGCTAAGGGAATTTATCAACATCAAACCAGTATTGCAGGAGAGATTTCTTTAAAAAGTAAAAATCATGTATCAAAAACATGAATAAAGAATGGTAATAACTACATTCCTATCAACAAATACCTCAAATGGAAAAGAATGAAGTGCTCCAACCAAAAGATAGTGCAGCTGAATGGATAAGAAAACAAGACCCCTATATAAGCTGCTTACAAGAGACTCACTTCAGATTAAAAGACACATACAGACTAAAAGGAAGGGTATTGAAAAAGATATTGCCTTGATGGACCTAGAGGGTATTGCACTGAATGAAATGAGTCAGATAGAGAAAGACAAATATCACATGATTTCACATACATGTAGAATCTAAAGAACAAAATAAACAACAACAAAAACAGAAATAAACTCATACAGAGAATATTTTGAGGGCTGCTAAGATGGGAGGGGAGTTGAGGGGACAGCGAAAAAGGGCAAAGGGATTAAGAAGTACAAATGGATAGTTATAAAATAGACATGGAGATATAAAGTGTAGCATAAGGAAAATAGTCAATAATGTTGTAATAAATATGTAAGGGGAAGAGAGGTACCAGATTTAGTGGGGTGATCAGTTTGTGAGTTATGTAGATCTCTGATTACTGCTATACAACTGAAACTGGTATATTATTGTGTGCCATCTGTAATTGAAAAAAAAATACCCATCGAATTGTACAATGTAAATACAAACAACTAATTGACTATTATATTTCAATAAAGGAAAAAAAAAAGAATGTAACAAGAAAAAAAATGGGTAAATGACCTGAATAGACATTTCCAAAGAAGGTATACAAATGGCCAATAAACACATGAAAAGACGCTCAGCATTGTTGGTGATAATGAAGATGAAAATCAAAATTACAATTAGATAGCTTTACATCTACTAAAATGGTAATAATAATAATAACAATAATCAGTAAATAATTGTTGGAAAGTATGTGGAGAAATTAGAACTCTTATACATTGCTGGTGAAAACGTAAACTGGTATAGTCAATGTGGAAAACCATTTAGTGATTCCTCAAAAAAATTAAGCATAGAATTATAATATGATCCAGTAATTCCACTCCTATATCCATAAGAATTGAAAAGAAGTGCTCAAACAAATACCTCTACACAAATCTTCATAGCAGCATTATTCATAAAAGCAAAAAGGTGGAAACAATACAAATGTCCATCAATAGATGAATGGATAAATAAAATGTGGTATATACATGCAATGGAATATATTCAGCTATAAAAATGAATGAAGTTCTGATAGATACAACATGAATGAACTGCAAAAACATTATATTAAGTGAAAGAAGTCAGATACAAAAGGTCACATATCGTATGATTTCATTTATATGAAATATCCAGAATAGGTAAACCCCTAGAGACAGAAAGCAGACTAGTATTTGTAGGGGACTGGGGGAGGGAGAAATGTGGAGTGATTGTGTAATGGGTAAGGATTTCCTTTTGGGATGATGAAAATGTTTTGGAGTGATAGAAGTGGTGGTGACGCAACACTGAATTTACTAAATTCCACTAAATTGTACACTTTAAAATTATTATTCTATATTTTGTGAATTTCACCTTAATGATAGAAAAGAAAGAAAAAAAGTGAGTGCAGATGGAGACACAACTAAGGCTAGATCTGGATCGAAAACTGAGAAGCATAGAAGGCTAGAGGTCACAGTGGGGACAGATGGCAGATTCTGTGAGGTGGAAAGGCACGATCGTTTTTGAGGATAATGACAAAATGTAAAACAACTCCCTCTGCCTGTGACGAGCAACAATAAACATTTGAAGGTGTGGATGGTTGGTAAGAAGTAGATAATGCTGCTCAGGGGAAGGGGAGTCATTAGATTACAATCTCTTAGCAGAAAGCCTGCAAGTTTTCAACTCAAAACCTCGGAACTATTTGGCTAGCCCCCATGTGTTGGCTCTGTCTCCATTTCCAACCACTATTCTCTCCTGGACAGCAGAATACCTGTATATGCTTATTGCAAACATAATCAGAGAATTAGTTTTCATTTCTCCTTCTTTCCAGCCCCACTATGACTTAAGTACCATAAAATCTAGAACCTTGCTACTTGAAGTGTAGTCCATGGAGCAACATTAGGGTTACCTAGGAGCTTGTTATATATGTAGAACCATTCCAGAATTAGCATTATAACGAGATTCTCTAGTAATCTGCATGCATATTAACATTTGACAAGCTCCCAAATAGAAAGAATAATGGTGAGACAAATGAGATTCATTTTCCCCAGGGCATGATGATGCCTGATTCCTTTATAGCTATTAGGATTATTTCTCAAAATGGTCTATATTTCCAGCTAAATTTTCTAAAAGGAGAAAGTTATGATGTTAGACCCACTTGAGAGAGTGCGAACTGGTGTGAGTCGTCTTCCTTCATGTTTGTTTTCAAGATCGATTTTATTTGTGCCACACTCTTACCACAGTATTTTTCTTTCCCTTTCTTAATGGCTCCAAACAAACTCTTTTGCACATATGATTCTCTCTGCCTTGAAAGCTTCTTTATTAGACTCCTCCCTGTTTGAATTCTCATATCCATTAAATATCAGATGAGATAATAGATGAGATGCTACCCTCATCCAAATAATATCAGATGTGTTACCTCATCCAAAGCAGATTCTCTTGTTTTCCTCTCTCCTGGTAACCTGCTTATTTTTTTGTTAACATCATGTTTTGTAATTATATACATATTTATGTGAATATATATGGCTGTTTGTAAACTAAAGAGCATAGTAAAGTGGTTAGCACAGACTCTGGAGCTAGCCTCCCTGATTTCCAACCCTGGCAATCACTGCTTTCCTCCTAGGCCTCAGAACAACTGCAAACGCATTTAAGTATGTACGTGCTTCCCCCTCCTCCCCTCCCCCCTCCACCACCATAGCCTTAAGGGTCTGTTCTCTCTTCCCTCTTTCTGAAATAGCAGACACTTCCCTTAAATGTAGATGCAATTGAAGTTGTTAACTGACCCATTTAATATTCTAGATTGAGAAGAGGTAGTGATAAGGGCCATCATCTTTTACAAAATCTACTTACAAAACTTTTAATTGTTTTGTTTTAAAGTATACACAGTTAAGTTTTTCTCCTTTCTCCCTTTGGGAAAAAGGCCCTCTCCCTCAAATCCAGAAGATTACCCTGAAACTGGTGACTTGGGTCCTCTGGCTATTGATAAGGATTATCCTTCCAGTTGTAAGCAGAAATGGCTTTAGACCAGGCAAGGCCCTTAGAGTCTAGAGAGGGGAGGGGACCTTTAACCCAAAGGTTTTTTGTTCTTTAAGAAACATATTACCCAAGCCTGTTCTCCTTTACTTGCTTAAAAGGCAAATCAATAATAGAAAATTAATAGATATGTGATTTAAATAACAAGTTTATATCTTCTTTTTCTTTTTCCACGGGCACGGGTGGCATTTCAGGAGGGTCCCAGAACCC